CACACAGAAACACACATAGACATACACACAGACACACACAGAGACACTTAGAGACACACACACAGAGACACACACAGGGACACAGAGACACACACACACACACACACACACAGACACAGAAACACACACACAGACACACAGAGACACACAGACACAGAAACACACACAGACACACACACACACAAACACACAGAAACACACATAGAAACACACACATAGACACAGAGACACACAGACACACAGAGACACACACAGAAACACACACAGAGAGACACACAGACAGACACACACAGAGACACAAATAGAGACACACACACACACAGAAACACACAGAGACACACAGAGACACACACACACAGAAACACAGATAGACACAGAGACATCATGGGGCAACTGCCCTCCATCAAAGGAAAGCTGCCCTCCATTTTGGGGCAACTGCCCTCCATCTTGGCCCCGTGGGGCCGGCCCACTGCTCCAGCTTTTCCTGACATCTGATCAGCGTATTGATCCTGATCTCAGTTATTGGCCGGGTCTCAGTTTGGATCCATTTGCCCTCTAAGCTGGTTTATGTTTATGTTTATGTTTATGTTTATGTTTCTGCATTTGGCAGACGCTTTTATCCAAAGCGACTTACAGAGTAGACACAATATTCCATTTCTCATCACTATGACAATAAGCTATACAGAGCAGAAACACTGATCAGAGTCAGTGGTGAGATAGAGATAGAGGTAGAGTCCAGAGGGGCCGGTTTGGGGGATCTGATTGGACCGTTCTGACCTTTGATCTGCTGTCTGTTTGTCTGTCTTTAGGAGCTGATCACCGCCTGGTACATCGGCTTCCTGTGTCTGATTCTTGCCAGTTTCCTCGTTTATTTGGCCGAGAAAGAAGACAACGAACAGTTTGAGACCTACGCTGACGCCCTCTGGTGGGGACTGGTGAGACTCACAGCCACTTACAGTACACCTCTTTCCTTTATCCATCAACTGTTCAGAGAAAAAAAAAGAAGAAATAAAAAAGGAAAAAAATTAAAAAAAAGGAAAAAAAAAACTGTTCATAGAGCTAAGTTCAGTCCAGTTTATCACAGTCCAGGGCAGAGGTCCAGTTTAACCAGAGCCAAGTGGAGAAAAATCTCCTCTGGACTCCTGTTTTAAAGCCGGGTGTGTTGGTAAAGTTGGGGGATTTTAAGAAATCTTCTTACTTTTGTGAGTAAGACTGACATGAACTGAATTTTCAGGGCCGTCGCTCTCTCGCAGTGGCAGACCGTGCATTTCACACCTGGTTTTATGGTTATAGAAATCATCTTATTATGTAGTAATACAGTAGGGATGTCCCGATCCAGCTTTTTGTATTAAAGTTGAAAGTTATTTGTCTACTTACTTAGTTGTCAGACTCATGTTGAACAGGGATTTACTCTGATAACAACTTAATGTTTACGACACAGACCTGTGGGTTACAGATGCTAATGCTAATGCTAACGCTCGTGTGGGATCGGACTTTTAAAAAATGTATAAAAATAAAATAAATAAAAAATATGATAATATATAATAATATAATTTAAAAAAAAGATAAATAAATAAATAAATAAATAAAATAATGGATATGGAGTCAGGATCTGCATTTTCTCATGCCGGCGGATACGATGTAAATAAAGATCAGGGGTGCACATGTCTTCTACTTCTGCAGCTCATAATATCCTCATAAACTCGCGATATTATTTAGGAATAAAGCAACATTTATACTCACTTACTTTTCTTGAAAGGTCCGTTTTGAAAATGGTCTTGACAGTAAATCCGCCACCAAATCATAAAATAGCCATTACATCAACACAACTATATTTGGGTTTATTTGCTAACTTTGGCTGGTACGCTATCTGACTATCCAATCAGCGGGTGTGAATACGGTGACTTTGCCTAAGGCCTTCTAGAAGGCCCTGGTGTCACCAACTTTAAATCTGATTGGTTAAAGCAACAGCGATATGTATTGTCTGTTAGAGGGCCTGTTTGAGAAGTGAAGGCCTCCAGGCAGACATCTTTGACTTTGACCCTGCCTAGCAACAAGTGATGGCTGAAACGTGATTGGTTAAATGCTTTAATATGAAAATGCATGTCTGGAAGCAGCACAACCAGGAGAAAAGCTATGAAAGGAGGCGGACGGACCATTTGGAAATATCTAATAAGTTACCATGGACAAAATATAACTAACATCAGTCTGTGATTCCCACCACTGCTCTCTCTGTGTCTGATTGGTCCGTCTGTGCTTTTCAGATCACCTTGACAACGATTGGCTACGGAGACAAGTTCCCGGTCACCTGGAACGGCCGTTTGCTGGCGGCCACTTTCACTTTGATCGGAGTCTCGTTCTTTGCTCTGCCGGCTGTGAGTCAGTTTAGCATTTAACCCTTTAAAACCTGATCCAAGAATTAAACAAAACAGAAACGTACTTTTTTTTGGTTTTAAGTCTATATTTGGCCTTTTAACAAAATATGTAAAAAGAAAAAACAGAAATACATTTTTAATATTAATAATTTATTACTATGCGATAAGTCCAGATTATTTTTTGTGTATTCTTCTGCCCCCTGTTATCAGGTGTATCTGATTGTGTACAATAGGATTTTGAGCAAAGTTTTTACTATTAAATTATGCAAAAGGAGAAACCTTATGTATCAAATATGATACGTTTGGCATTACAGGGTTAAAGTGTAACTGTCCCGCCAACACACACACACACACAGACACACACACACACACACACACACACA